GTCTTTAATTAGTTCAAAAAGAACCAAAATTATATCATTTATGTCTCGAAAATTCTAATATAAATATTTTGTGAAAATTGCATCTACAGTTACAATTAACAAATTAAAATTGTTTTACATTTTTGAATCACAACAAAGACAAATTCGATTTTGTTTAATCCTAGTGCTCACTAAATATCCCCGTAAATGTTTTTAAGTTTTTCTTTATTATTTTTAAATATACTGGGAATTAATTCTACTCCTATAAGAAAAACTAAGTCCAATTTACTTCCAAAATCCTTTGTCGACATAGAAGAAGAAGATTGATTAGGTTGAGCCATTTTTTCTGCTATAAAAATTGTCTTTATAGTTTTAGACACAAAAAAAATAACGTATAGATAGGTAAGTACATCATTCTAAAATCAATACATTCATATTGCTGCACTTAAAATCTAAAATTGAGATCATTACGACGCTAAACCGTAATTCTATAGGGCCTAGAGTCAAGTTAACTTTTTTTTCTTCATTTACCTATTTTAATCATTGACAACTATATGGCAATTAGCATTTTGTAGGGGAGTTATGGTTGGTTGAGGAACACGTGTATGTTGGGCAATAGGATTCGTCACTAAAACCCGGGTGGTCATCCATCCGGGAAATAGTGACGCCGGCCGATGTTTGACCTCAGAAATTGAAATTAACATAGTGGATGCCCTAAGCAAAACATATCTTAAACTTTAATAGATTATTAATTTTTATTCGATTATTATTAATTGACATGTCATATACTTTAGGGAACAGTAATTCATCACAAAAACAATATACATATACATATACATATACATATACAATATACATATTTTATTTCCCACATTAACAGACTGAGGAGTGAGGATTGTCATTTATACAAATGGTTTAGTTAAAAATTGTAATTATATAGATAATAAAATATTTATTGTTATAAAATGGGGAAATTTTTGGATACCTAAAATGTTTGAACGAACTCAAGACGCGATATATTTTTGTTTTCAAACTGAGCCATAGAGTTTTTAATACAATTTTATTTTTCTACATCCTCTCTTCGTTTGTTTGTTAAATTTGATTTTCACATTTTAGTATAAATGTTAGTTTGAACATTTTTTAATACTTCTACAAACTGGAAAATTTTAGGATACAATGAATAAAACATTCCATTTAATTTTGAGTAAAACGATTAACATAATGAGGCGTTGGCGGTACGTTATTAACGAGTTTGAGAACACTTAAATTATTAGCAGTCTTCACTCTTCATTGCAGATGCTAAGTCAACAATCACTTTTTGTAGATCGATTGATAGTGGATGAGCCATAGAAAAAATTTCTTAAGAATAGGCAAAAAATGCAGTCTAATTTTTCCGAATACGAAAGCCTAAGGAATTCCAGTAACCAGTGTCTTTGAAATTTGAGATTTCTTTTTCCACTGATAGGAAATGAAATTTATTTAACTCATTAAGTATCTATACATTTTTCAAAATCTTATATTTTTATCATTAGTCAACATCATAATATTGATTTCTATGTACTAATGATGAAAAGTATAAGATTTTGAAACATCGATGATCCAAAAGTTTGAGAGTGTATGTGTGTACTGATACTAAGTGCTGTCTCATTTAATATTTAAAATTATTAAGTATTTATAATATTTTTTTTTAATGTATAGATTATATTGACCTACTGAAAGTTAACTAGGTACCGAATAATAATAGCCTTATTAAGGCCTGAATTAATTTCTTTTATTCCCGATCTCTTATAGTTTGGTTCGTTTTTACTGTCACTGGTCACTATGACATTGTTGTAATTTGGATCACGGGTACTGGGTAAATGTTGGTCTCTACTCTCTATATCAAGTTTAAGTTTTTTTAGTACCCACTTATTATTGTTAATATACTTTAATTTTTAAGCACCATACTTCAAATATAATTAAACAATTGATATTATTAATAAAAATATACCTACTAACTTATAATTTATAAAGCTTAAAATAATATGTATTTATGAACAAAACAATTTGAACAACGTATTACGTATGTACACAAATAGCTGCCTAGCTGAGTACTACTTTGTAGTAGTTCCATTCGTCACTATAAGTTTGATAATATAATGTAATAACATGTGGTGTACCTAGTGGTAATAGGTACGTGAAAACGACGATAACGATTACAGATTTAAGACTAAAGTGGCTTACAAACTGTAGGCAATTAATCGCGCAAAATTAAATTCGTAAGGACGGCGAAAAAAGATCAATTACACCTTTCGTCAATCATATATCTATAACATTTTCCTGAAAATGTTCAAATTCCCATATTTATCCCACATAAGATAATGTTAAGCTGTATTATTTAATAGGTATTTATAATCAGAATTACATAAAACAATATAACAAAGGTATTTTAAATGTAAGCTGTTTATTTTATAATTTATTATACATAATGATGGACAATTTGTTATACTTAATACTTAAAAGGACGCTACCTATACATTTGTTGTCTCCGTATTACACAGGCACGACATACCAAATTGTCGTTTTCTTGTTTCAATAATGTGCTGTTAGTTTTGATACTAGAGGGAATTGACCTATTATACAACTTTTAGGTAAGAACATTATCTGTGTTCAAGCATTGGCGATTTTTCTAAATTTTCATTTTCAAGCAAGAATCAAGATATGGGTATGAAAATATCCAAAATTAAAAATGCTCATATCTCGAATAAAAATTAAAATATCGAATAAAAGCCAACGCTTAAGCACAGATAATGTTATTATCTAAAAAAGGTGGGCAAGTGGATGTTGCTCTGCTGTACAGTAGGTTACAAGTGAGTCACTGTAATGGATGGTGTTAAATTTGAACTCAATGATATAATATCATTGTATAAGAAAAACGATTCTGAGCGAAAACGGTCAGTCAGCCTATGATATTACTAAGTACATTTGATTTAATTTATATATAACCAATTTACGTGGAACCTTGTTTTAAATTTTTAATCCTTAGCTATAAAAGTTGAACATTTTATACATTTTTAACTACAAAATAATTATTACATTTTAAGTATAATAAATTTTGTCAAAATTCGAACTTTAAATGCTTATAAAAAAAAATTGTGACAGTATGTATTTTCAATATTTTTCAACTGCTATTGTTACAATATATCAGGAGCCTTGTATTAAATTGTCACGCTATTTTACCCAAGAAACAAAATTTTATTGATATTTATAGAAAAAAAAAAAAAAAAAAAAAAATTGAAAACTGACAATGTCCGTAAACAGCTCAAAGAGTCAAAATATTTTCAAAATGTTATGGTGTATAGAAAATGAAAGTATAAACATTCAGTATAATTTTCATGTATCTACAGTTATTCGCTTTTGAATAACAAGTAACAACAAAATAACAAAATCGCTTCCTGAGAAATCGAGTGAATATAAAAACGCTCATAATAATTTAATATAATAATTTGATTTGCTTGAAGACATTTTTTTTGATAAGATAGACAAACTTATAAATAATCTTGTTTTATATTTTCAAATCTTAGATTTAAAAAGAAAATGTTGTATGAATTTCTAACTCAAAATAATTTGCAAATTTTCGTCATTTTTACGTATTTTGTCAAATGTCAATATTGGAGCTTTAAATGCTTATAAAAAAAAATTATGACTATGGATTTTTAATTTTTTCATCTGCCTTTGAAACAATATACTAGGAGCCTTCTATTAAATTTTCAAGCTTTTTTAGCCAACAAATAAAATTTTATTGATATTTATAGAAAAAAAAAACTAAAAAAAACGGAAACTGAAAATGTCCGTAAACAGCTCAAAATAAGTCAAAATATTTGAAAAATGTTATGGTGTATAGAAATTCCTAATATAAACATTCAGTCAAATTTCATATACCTACTGTCATTTTTTTTAGAGTTGCACCAAACACCAAAATCGATTTTGAAAACAGATTTTGCTTAAAAATTCCCGTTTTCCTTAATTTTTCTTTTGTTTTACACGTGGCTTTTGAAAACTACTGAAAAACTTTTACTTTTGACCCCCAAAGCACCAATTAGATTCACTTTCCTATCAGAAAAGATACTGTTGAAGAAAATCTAAGCATTTTTACTGTCCTAAAAGGTGATGAGTGATGACAGACACAAAAAAAAAAAAAAAATAAAGAAAAAAAAAACACACATCATTGTAAAATATTTCATCGTTTCACTCAGAATCTAAAATGTATAATATTATGTTAAATCACTCTAATATCAACACTTACAGCACACTATTAAAACTAGTGAACGAAAATTTGGTATGTCGTACACTCGTACGTGTGTAAGAGTAAGACAGAGACAACAAATGCATTGGTAGCATCCTCTAGAGATAAGTAGGTACCGAGTTGGTACAATATAATTAATTTGAATATGTACAATCAATTTTAGTTTTCCGTTTTTATCGATCAAAAAATTCACATAAGAAATTTATTCTATCTAAAAGTTCGGGGTGAGCGGGGTTTGTTATCTTTAGGGTTTGTTTATTTGATGTTAATTATATTTTATAACATAACATAATATATATTACAATTTACAGTCAGCATAATATACATGGATACTCAGGCTTTGATCTAGAAATCTGAAATATGTGGGGGGGGGGGAATTAAAAAAATAAAATTATACTTTTAGTACATAAGACCTATGTCAGGGGTAATAGATTATAGATACTTTATTAATGTTTTAAATTTACAGAGTTTAAGACAAACTAATTATTCATTAAATAATTAAACATAATAGGTAATAACTAATAAATGTAATATATGTATACAATTACCAATGATGGTTTAAAGACCCTTTTAGATCCCCCCTGGATTTGCACCTGGGGATACCTACTCAATTATTAATTGGGCGTTATAGGTTATTTACAGTCTATTAAATTAATATCATTAAAAAACTACCTACCCACAATAAGGCAAAAAATAAATTACGAACGCTTTTTCGTTTCAGGTTATTACCGGCATTATGTCCAATATGGCAAATGCTGAAAACTACCAATTGAAATGGCATAGTCACGGTGCTCATTTACATTCGACTATTGCAACGTTACACGGCACCACGGCTTTCACCGACGTGACCCTAAGTACGACTGACGGACGCAACGTGTCGGCGCACCGTTTCGTATTGTCGGCCTGTAGCGCGTACCTGAACCAGGTGTTCCAGAGCTGCCTGTCCAACAACCTGGTAATAGTACTGCCGGCCGACATCAGTTACCGTACGCTTTGCATACTGCTCCAGTACATGTACAGCGGTGAGGCGACGGTCACCAATAGCCAGTTGGACCGGGTGCTTAAGGCCGGCGAAGTGTTGAGGGTGAGAGGGCTGTGCAGGAGCAATGAGAACACCGTGGGTGTGGTGCCCAGACAGCAGACGCCCGACAACAAGGACGACAAGTCAAAGCAGAAGTCCAAAGGTGACATGCCACTATCGGTGTTGTCCGACGGAAACGAGAACAAGGAAAACGAAAAGGATAAGGATAACGATGATGGTGAGGTGAAGAAAGAAAATTCTGAAAACGAAGACCCCATGCACAATGCATTACAGCTGGAGATCACCGTCAAGGAAGAACCGTTGGAATGGAACGACAGTGATCGAACTGAAATGACCATTCAACCGGTAAGGGATTTTAAAAAGTACATATTCAAGTATGGGTTTGAAAATTATAACATGTTCCCCAAGTTGGCATAATTAATGTAACAAGTAGGTACCATTTAGGTGCGTTAATAGCTAATACCCACCTACGGGTTATGGCATACCTACCTCACAGGAATGTGCGTGAAAAGTAAATTTACCTATTGTCAAATTTAAAGTTAAGAACATTATTGGTATTTTATACGTTGGTTTTTTTACAATATTTAAATTTTTATGCAAGTTATTACGAGTACCTACCTACATACAATATTACAATTTGAAAATGTTCAAGTACATCGAAGTAAAGTAGAAACAATGTAAAAAAAGCTAACTGTACAAATACAAATAATGTTCTTATAACATCAAATTTGAATCTTTGAGAATAGGCAATAGGTAATACTTTAATTTACCTAGTCTAATATTAAAGCTAACAACACATGATTGGTCCTACTGAAAGCAAATTTTCTAATTTACACGTGGGTCAGAAATAAAACAAGTTGGTAGTGTGCTGACATCTTCTTACGCCAATATCTATTATATTTATTAAATAAAGTTTATCTTCATGTACATTTTCAGGAACTGTATTCCAATTACGACGATGATGACGAGGAAGCTGATTCTGATTATTATGCTCCATTGACATGCGATATGTGTCAAGAAACATTTCGAACGCCAGCCCTTTGGGTTAGACACATACAAACTCATGAATTAGGCTCAATTACCGATTTACCAAAAAGAAAACGGAGAAAAACCACAGTACGTGTATTATATTTATTTTATATACTCTGGGCTGGACAAGTCACTCAATTTATTGTAACTGATTACAAGTTACTAGATTCTTTTATGTTGAGGACATTGGAGCAACTAGAATCAATTTTTTTTGGGGGGGGGGGGATATAGAATTTTATCAGCAGCACAGATCCGCAGGGTCATCGTCCCCACACCCCCTCACTAATATACCGAGTCGCTACTAATAATACACAAATAAATTAATATAAAACTAGGTAGTGAATTAAAATTATAAATAATTATATAGGGATAATACCACGACATATTTTTAATTCAACTTTAATTTACTCAAATAGAAAATGTACATAATATAAAGTAATATCAATCATATCAAATAATATTAAATCAATACTAATTTTCTATTAGTTGCTGAAAATGTATCAATAATTGTTTTTAAGTCTAGACTTAACTCACTCAAGACTATTATTTTGATATTCAGTATTAATAAATGTCTTGTCCCTTCGTTCTTGTAATCTTGTATTCTTGTCTCATTGTTATTTTCTGACAAGCTTTTAATTGCCGCATTGAATATTTGCAGGTTGCGCAACTAACAGGTATAGCGAAAGCTACTTGTGTCTTGTAGCAATTTATACAAATTTAGGTACTAGGTAGGTACACATCTTCGGTAACTACTTGCTTAATATCATCAAAATCAAAATTTTCTTTAATTTTGACCAGGAAATTTTTTGCAGCAAGCTATTTTTCTCATCACTAAAAATTATAATTAATAAATTTATTTTCAAAAATGTGAACGAATTTGAAGTTTTGAAAAAAGACGAATTTTTAAAATTAAAATAAAACACCAACTAAATTTCAATGAGTCTTATAAGGGTGGTGTGGGGGGACTTCCCCCCGTGTTATTATACACTTTGGTTTTGTAGGACTCTAGCCCCTATAACTATTTAATCCTAGTTACGCCCATGCTTATACCCCTACAACAGCTAATGGCCTTATTCGCTGGGCTAAAGTTCAAAAGAAAAAAAATTTAAGGAAATGTTGATATTGATGATATTAAACATAATTTATAACTGTACCTATTATATGGAGACTAGAAAAATATTTGGGGGGGCTAAGCACCCAAAGCCCCACGTAATTACGCCTATGATTGAGTTACTAGATACAAGTTACAGTTATATGTAACTGATAACTAAGTTACATTTAAAGTTAAAAGTTACATAATTGGTAAATGTATAAAGAATAATTGCCAGGGGCTAGGTAAAATCACGCCAATCACGGCACAGTCGTTGTTAGGAAAAAAAATGTATCAACTTTAATTGTACAACCATTGAATATCCAGTGGCCTGATAAATTGTGAAAACCAAAATGAACGTAAATAAGAAAAAATCTTGGCCATAATATATTTTTAAACTGGTACCTATTGTAACAATGTGTGAGGACTGAGGACTCTTCAGCTTTGTATTAAATTTTCAAGCATTTTGACTAAACGAAGAAAATTTTATTTACATTTATTAAAAATAAAAACTAAAAAGGTGGCAAGTGGGTGTCACTCTGCTGTACAGTAGGTCACTATAATGGATGGTGTTAAATTTTAATTCAATGATTTAATAACTTTGTATAACAAAAACAATTCTGAGCGAAGACGTTCAGTCATCCTTATGATATTACTAAGTAGGTATATTTGATGATATTATGTGAATAAAGTAATTTATATATACCTTTTTTTTTTCCTATTTGAACCGACGGTGCTGCTGTCGCATTCTTCCGCCACACCACCATTAATATATATATACCTAACCTATTTACATGGAACCTTGTTTTAAATTTTAAATCCTTAGCTATGAAAGTTGATCATTTTATAAATTTTTAACAACAAAATAATTATAAAATTTAAAATTTGGTAAATTTTGTCGAAATTCCAACCATACATGTTTTAAAAAAAATTGTGCCTATGTATTTTTAATATTTTTCAACTGCCATTTAAGCATTATATCAGGAGTCTTGTATTAAATTTTCACCCTTGTTACCCAACAAATAACATTTTATTGACAATTATAGAAAAAAAACAATATAATTGAAAACTAACAATGTCCGTAAACAGCTCAGAGAGTCAAAATATTTATAAAATTGTATGATGTATAGAAAATGAAAATATAAGCATTCAGTGAAATAACAAAATAACAAAATCGCTACATGAGAAATAAAGTAAATATATAATCTTGTAAAAATATGAACTTAAAACGCTCATACAAATGTAATTTGATTTGCTAGTAGACTAATCTTATGAGGAATCTTGTATTACATTTTCTAATCTTAGATTTGAATATAAACATTTTTATGAATTCATAACTCAAAATAATTAGCACGTTTTCGTGAATTTTACGTATTTTGTCAATATTTGAACTATAAATGCTTAAAAAAAAAATTGTGAAGATGGATTTTAAATTGTTTTCATCTGCCTTTGAAACAATATACTAGAAACCTTCTATTAAATTGTCAAGCTTTTATCGATATTTATAGAAAAAAAAAACTACAAAAAATGAAAACTGAAATTGTCCGAAAACAGCTCAAAATAAGTCAAAATATTTGGAAAATGTTATGGTGTATAGAAAATGCTAATATATTTCATGTACCTACGGTCATTTATTTTAGAGAAAAACCAAAATCGATTTTGCTTAAAAATTCCCGTTTTTCCTTAATTTTTCTTTTGTATTTCACGGCACTTTTGAAAACTACTGGGGAATTTTTACTTGGACCCCCCAAAGTACTATACTGTGAACTATATTAACTTTCCTATCAGAAAAGATACTTTTGAAGAAAATCTGAGCATTTTTACTATTCTAAAACGTGACACAAAAAAAAAAAAAAAACACATTGTAAAATCAATACATTTATCAATCCGCTCAGAATCTAAAATTGAAATTTGAAAATGTCAGTAAACAACTCGATAAGAGTCAAAATATTTTGAAAATTTTATCAAGTATAAAAAATGATAAAATAAACATATGGTGGCAATATACCAATCGACGGTTATTGGTTATTAAATAACAAGTAAATAAGAAAATCGTTGTATGAGAATTTGTTAATTTACAGGAAGATATCTGATGTCTAACTTCAAACGCTTGTAAAAATTTAATTTGACCTTCCAGTATAGATATTTTTTTTTTTTAAAAGGTAGACAAACTTATGAGGAAATTTGTATACATTTTTTTTTTTGCTTTTACAGACCCACTTATGAATTATTAAAGCACTAAAAGCACAATATAGCTTTAATTTAACTTGTATATAAAGTAACAGGAAAATGTGTAACTAGTAACAAGTTACATTATAAATAAATAATTTGTTACAAGTTAGAAGTTACAAAAGTAACCGAGTTACATGTAACTGATATGCCTAACCCCGTTTGGCTGTATATATCTATATTTTATATGCATAGGAGCAATTTAATGGTTCTTAGGTTTATAGGATCATTGAATTTTTATTGACATATAACATTATGCCATAGGTATTTGGGTACATTTATTTCTAAAACCTTCTCATTTTCATAATAAGAATAATAAATAAGAATAACATATTACAATATAATATTATAATATCACATTAATATTAACATATCAATAACATACTGTCAGATAATAATGTATTATGTTATAGGCAATTCTTTATATTAAGATAAATGCAAAGAAGTATAAAATCATGGTGTATGAATGGGGGGGAGGGGCAAAGCCCCCCACTCATCACTTTAGTCGACATAAATCTAGCACCCCCATAAACTTAACCCAAATTACGCCTATATGGTTAGCAAACCGTATTGTAAACATTTTAATGGCATACTAACAATTCTTTTTTTAAATTAAAAAACAGGATGAAGATGACGGAGGCGAGTTACCCCCCTTACGTTGTGAACTATGCCAACAAGAGTACCAGACACCCGGAGATTGGGTGCGGCACATTCAAAGTGCACACACGGAAGAACAGCTGGCCATTACAAATAGTTTAGCGAGTGGTGGATCGGGCATATTACCTTCAGCCAAAAGACCACGACCAAGAATAATGAATGGCCGTAAAGTGTGTCCAACTTGTACAAAAACATTTCCGTCGCATGCGAGCATGTTGATACACAGTCGTACGCACACAGGCGAACGGCCATACCAGTGTGGTGTCTGCAATAAAGGTTTTAATGTAAAAAGTAATTTACTGAGACACATGAGAACATTACACGATACAGTTATAAGTCCTAATGCCATGGTCGAATACTGTAATGCCCAAGACGAAGTACCCCCTACAACATAAAAATATTAAATTTAACATAATTGTTTATAAATTTAGATTAAATTTTTACTTTTTTGGTCTAACTTATTTTTAGAGAGTTCATGAATATACTCAATTGCTAATTGCATAATTGAATTTACAAATCTATTTTACATGGAAACTTTCCAACTTAATTTACTTTCCTTAAAATCTTTAAATTTTTATCGACAGCTTATACGTCATGTATATTGATAATGAGCTCCTTTAAAATTTTACTTCCAATTTACTTATAAGACAAATATACCAAATTCATACTGTTTTATATGAAATAATGTTACTTTTGTTTTAGTGCATCGCTTTTTATCTTTCCAGCATTTTTTTTTTTTTTTACCTTTTACTGAAGTATATCATAGTTTTGATACTAGTACAAAATAAGCAGATGTTAAGAAATAAAATTTATTTTTCAACAATGATAAAACGATCATTGTCTTCCTGCATATATTGAATTATATTATAATATTGTGTAAAATCCTAATAAAATGTATATAGTGATGTAAAAAAAATTAGGATCTCATTCCATTTTACATTATTTTCAAAGATTTTCTACTTATAGCAAATATTTATTATATTTATCCCAAATCCCAATAATAATGTGAAATTGTAATATTAAAAGTGTACTTTTATTATATGCTCAGTAATTCAATAATTATTGTTAATTACTATACATTACAATATTTCTTTCAGTACTTTATTTTTTACGATCCTATAATGTTGTAAATATTTAATAGAAATAAATGAAAATAAAAATATTAAAACTGACTTTTTTCATGTATACAAATAAGAATTCTGTTAAATTGCTAAAGTAATGAGTTTGTCCTTAAGATCTATTTTATATAAACGATAAAATTAAAATTAATCGTCTTCTTCAATTTTAGGTGCTAAATAATACCGGATATAACCCAACTCTTCAATTTGGTATTCTACAACTAATGGGACATCTCCAGACATTGATAGAATAACCTACAAATAAAAATGTTAGTTAAATAATAAAATAAATGTCACCAAACTATAATAATATAGTACTTGTGGAGATAATGGAGCTGCTTTGCAAAACAAATTCAGGTAACGACAAGCAAATGTCAAACATACAGCTTGTTGCATTTCAATGGTAACTCCTTCTTCTTCTTTATCGATTGACGAGTTTTGCGAAAGTTTGACATTAGCTAATTGCATTTAAATAAAAACAATTCACAACTATTTTGTACAATATTACTAAAATACAGTTAGATTACCTGATCCAATATCACCCGAAGTAGAGAATTTTACACCATCTTTAGTACAAGCAATAATAACAGATTCCCCAAACTGACTCAAATCTCTACAAATTCTTGCAAATTCAGTAGAAGGCATCTTAATTATACAAGAATAATTTGTTTCCTAAAAATAAAAATATAAACATTCATCAGCCAAATATTTCAACTCTTAATAAATTAAAACCCATTGTGCATTATACAAATAGTAAGTATGGTTTTATATTTAAAAAAAATACAGTGAATAGAATAAAAATTATATTCAGTTATGACATAGCTCAAAGCAGGGTGTTCCATCTTTTATAATTGACAGGCCAATTTACACTTTCATAAATTACTGGGGACCGTCAAAAGAAAAAAAATCTCTCACCACGAGAATCATGGCTTTGGACGTTACTCATTGCACTCATCGTATACCTACATCTTATAATAATTTTTTAATTTTTGTGTCTGTCATCACCGTTTGGGACAGTAAAACTGCTTCAATTTTCTTCAACAGTATCTTGCATTTTTGCTTGATGGCAAAGTGAATATAGTTGGTACATTGGGGAGGCAAAAATTTAAAATTCCCAATAGTTTTCAAAAGAACCGGGAATACAACATAAACATTAAGGTAAACGGGATTTTTTAAACAAAATCGGTTTTCGACAAAATCGATTTTGGTTTTTGGTATAACTCTAAAACAAATGATCATGATATTTATTTATGGACCTACAAGAAAGTGAAATTAAATTTTTATGAGCATTAGAAGTTCATATTTTTACAACATGGGATATTCTCTCGACTTCTCATGTAGATATTTTTTTATTTTGCTGTAATTAAAAAACAAATAACTTTAAATATATACCTAACCAAAACATCTAAAAATATACATAAATACAGTTTTTAATAATTGTTTTAAGTTTGGAAGAAATTACATATTATTAAATAACCAAGAATAACTATTTTAGTTATATTTTTGTAATTTTATAACATTAATTCAACCGGCTACCATATTAATAATAAGTAATAACAATATAAATAAAATATCCTACACAGACAAAGTGTCTTCGCTCAAAATCGTTTTTCGTATACAATATTGTCATCATGGACCACAGTGGCAATATAATATATACAGAAGTCACTCGATAATTTGAAATTCAGGGGACCGAGTTAACAATTTGGTTTACCGAGTGTTTGAATAATCGAGGGAAAACAAATTAGTTCGAATCAAAGAGAGGTGAACAATTGTATGTATATATTACATATTAAAGTTTATATTAGGTAGGTAGGTAAGGTACGATAAATTTATAATCTAGGATAATATTTAACCACCGTCGTTATTAGTTTCATTACGAGTACGTTAAATATATAGATTGTACATAATCTTTAAATGTACATACATATGAACTTACATATACCTAATAGTATTTAAGGAAATTTGAATAATAGAAGGAATACGTCATGTATTCTCTTCTAATTATAGAGGTTTTCTCAGGGGAATCTGCGTTTAGTTCGATTTATGGAGATTTTCGAATTATCGAGTGACTACTGTAGTATTATAATATTATAGTGTCTATACCATATTATCATTTTAATTCAGTGATTTAATACAGGTCATCACACTGATGATGTAAAAAACTTATTTTTAATTAAGGAATTAATTATCAATTAGTAAGAGTTTATGTTACAAGATACTATGGGATTCATAATTGGTTCAGATTAATAAAACTGTCCTCCTAATTATCCATGTTCAATAGGTAGGTCTCGTTAAAGTTTTATAATGATTTGTGATCAATTTGAACCCCCAAAACCCACCTGTTTACGTACCTGAATATATAATAATGTTTCTATCAAATGTGCTATAGAAAATAATTAATTTTGAAAAAAACAATGGGTTAGGTTATGTGGGGGGATTTAGTTGTTCTAGGCCAATATTTTAAAACAATTTTACTAATTAAAGATTAACTTTCAACATACAGGTATACCAAGATGTTCTTGATCCAAATTCATGAGTTTCATTTCATAGTCTGACATTTTCTCCTGGTTTGATGTCTCAAACATAATAGTGAGAGTATCTGCATTATCTTGAGCTTTAATAGTCATAATGTCATCATTAGAACAACATTTCATGATTTTCACCATGCTAAATTAATATACAAACATAATAAATTAATAAATATAATTTTCATCAACTACCTATTTGACTACATATTACAAGTAATAATGTGCTTATGTATACCTTTCTAGATTGATGCCCATTGACAAGTTCCTGTCACAGCGAAACTTATCAAAACCAGTACTTTTCAAACACATGGATACTAAGCTGACATGGGCGTCGTCCATGGCCTGAAGTTGAATCCCAGAATCAGAACAATCAAATGTCGCTTCTTTTAATAGTTCCTTAATGGCTTCCAAAATCTTTTTGAGCTGGCCACTCTTCAAGAGTCTTGCTTCAAACATGGTGTATTGGGTAATTAGGTTCGGGAAAAATAAATAATATTATAGAAGAGTTAATTGAGATCACTGACAATCGGATTTCAGTGAGAAAATGTAAAATACTAAAAATTAAATCAACGACTTAATAGTTAACACTTAAAGGGAACAAAATATTGAAATTGAACGGTGGGTGCCAATTTCCGTAAGTCAAAGTCACTATTCTACTCGGTACTCAACGACTCACAAAAGATAGTCCGCATAAACGCGGGAAAATGGCGGCATTTGGCAATGTGACCAACAGAAGAACTTACGGAATTTTCAAAATCTTAACTTTTTTTAACAATTCATAGTTTACGGTAATTTTTCTAAATTGTGGTTAACGCAATTTATAGCAAAATATTATTAACGTTTTTTTTTATTTGTATTTTATTTTACTGAACCTATATGGTTTATTAAATTATAATTAATTATTTTGTTCATGATTTTTAATATCTCACAGAACAGTAAAACCACATTAGAAAAATAGTTATAAAGCCGGATTCTCAGCTGCTGCTTCGTGTGGTGTGCCGTGTCGATCAAATCGTATTGTGATTGGATATTACTTTTTTGGTATCATGTAATAACCAAGGTACAACCGAGTATACCAAGAATTGACTACTAAACTGCTCAACCATATTTTTTATCAGTCGTAACCATATAATAACCATGCCACTCGATGCACGACGTAGCAGCAGCTGCTGTGAATGCGCCTTTAACGTTTAACATATGGTAGTACCTATAACCATTAACCAGACCTGAAACTAAAAAGTAAACTAAGTATACATTATTAGTATTATACATTTTTATATTTAATATAATATATTTTATAAAATTGGTAAGAAATAAGAATAAATAAATTGTTTTACTTCTATTCTAAAAGCACACTTTGTCATATGGTACCTTTTAAAAAAATAAATATTTATTATAACCACGGTTTAAGGTATACCTTTAGTATTTATAAGGTGCATGAGCTACAGGGGCTGCATCACGGTCTAGAATATATGAGTTTCGATAGGAGCTCAAGCTTTTATCACGGAAAAAAATTGGAACGGGCCTATATGATCAAAGGAACGGGCGCAGTGCTTGAGCTCTATTAGTATAATAACTCCTGTTGCTTATACAAATTGAACTATTTATATTTCTATATAATTTCTATATTAAACATGCTAATTAACATTTAACATAAAGTATAAACATTAAACTATAACGATTAAAATTTTAAAAATCTTATATTTAAATGTTGGCTAATTATCACGAATTAAGATATATCTTAATTCGTGCTAATTATATCATGTCAAATATTATATGGTTTTATAAACCGCTAGAGCGCAGCAGAGCGCCCGTTCCGGTTTGCTCCGTGATAAAAGCGTTTTTGTAAGTATGTATTTTCAATTGAGTTGCACGGTCCACAGCAGCACACTAAAGTGTTAAAAACTCTCATAGTGCAGTTACGTGGGACATAAAATCACTAATTTAGTGCACAATGGAATTGCTGGTGCAAGGGGATTAATAACCCATCTTGAGCTGGTGAAATATAAAAAAGTGCACTATAATGCAAAAGCTGCTATAAATTAGTCCGTTGTCTATGCTATCAACTATCAGTTATCACTATTCACTAATCAGTATAGGATAAGATATCACAAATCCCAACTCTTATTATTTATTGACTAAAGTATGGGAATTGCGAATACTATTCGCCGAATAATATACTTGCATTGTTGCACACTTGCTGCAGTTTATACTCACTAGTCACTTTGAACAGTTGGAAGGAGCATTACTCAATTACTGCATTACTAGTCTGAACTACGTATTGATGTAGTCTACGTTCTTCGTAGTAGATTAGATGTACTGTAAGACTTCATCGTCCTCAATAGTTTATAATTATATTTCTATAGCTTTCGAAGTGCATTAAACAAAAAAATAAAATAAACTTTATTTCGCGCCATGACTTTAAAATTAATTGTTGTTATTAAATATTCACATACTTTGTCTATTGTTACTGCTTTTTAAAAACATAGTGTTATAATGGAACCTGTAGTTAACTGGAATCCGCGAGAAGTGTCCATTTGGCTGGATAAAAAGGGTCATAGTAAATATTCTCGAATACTTACTGAAGATCATTGCATCGATGGCCGTGCTCTTTTACTCATTAATGAAGCTGACTTAAAAAGTCCACCTATAAGTATAAATGTATGATTTCTTTGTTTCACATTTAATTATTTAAAATTACATAATAGCTACTTAATAATGGATTATTATTCAACATTTAGGTCTTAGGGGACATAAAAAGATTAATGTTGGATATTCGTCAGTTAAAAGTAGAAAATCGACAGACACTTTTGCAACTTGGATTTGATCCTATATCGCTACTTACAAAACCTGTATGTAGTGCACATGTTTATGGAACTCAATTCCGACCAGATGTAAGTGCCATGAATTAATTATTATTTTTAATTTATTATTAACCTTTAAAATAAATGTATTATTAATGATTCCCATGGTGTAATTTTCTAATATTAAAACTATTCTATTCTATTATTTATGTTGAAATGGTGACAAATCGTTGCTTATCTAAAACAATTCTGAGCAGAAATGGTGTTTCAACCTCTATTTTATAAAAGACATTTATAATTTATTTCTATTTCTATTATTTATTAGCTTTGGCACTAAGAATCCCGTGATTATGTTAAATAATAATTAAAAATATTAGACATGTGCCGTATCATGCTCAGGATAGGCTATCGGACTTATCAATTATCCACTTCGAAAGATACAGGTAGTTAGTCTTTAATAATGAAACTATTTTAAACAAATATGCTGAAAAACAAGTCCATTGTAATTACATTTAATTACGATCCATTACATTGACCAACTCAACATGTACTGTACAGTAGAATGGTACCCACTTGCCTACTTTTTTAACATTTAAGTTATGTCCTTACCTCAATAGTATGGGATCTTAGTGATTCAACTAGCAGTAAGCATTTGTATATTCAGTCTATTTTCATTTCTTCCTGCTATAATCACACTATATTTAGTGTTCAAAGCTCCACTCAAAAATACAACATTCACCATATAGTATTACAAGGAAATCACAGTCCCTGACACAGTGATTATATCTGTCACACTAAAATATTTATGGTGTACAAAACTTTAAATTTTTGTCTTGCCAAATTGTATTTAACTATAACTTTCACATTTTAAATTAAAAAAATAAAACATATCTTACCTACGTAATAAATTTTGATTATTTTGAGTTAAAAAAGTTAGAAAAAATACTATTATTTTTTAACATAAATATTAAACTACCTACCTACTAATTCTTTACAGATTTTATTTCCATAATTTAATATTATGATATAAGTATTACATAACGGATTAGTGAGTTATTGGGATTATAAATTATTATAAACTGTATAAATAAAAATATTTTGCATTTAATGACCCTTGCAGTTTCACAACAGCCTAGCATGAAGTTATTTTTACTAATTGAATCGTCTAAAGATATGATTAATTGTGTACGTACTATGGTCATCAAATGCATATAGGCGTATAATCAAAGTTTAAAATGTTCAATAGTTGTCAATTATCACATCATTAAGGACTTACACATAGAGCTATCATTTATCTAAATTCGTGTCAGTATATACTGTATATTACATTATTATAGTTGCATAGTGGGGGTTTTTTTGACCGCGTTACAATTTTCAAGAATTTAAAACTTGTTTCATTAACTTTTATTCATATTTTGTTTTATTTAAATAAATTATTTCATACAATGACAAAAAAATTAAATCTATTACAAAAAGTAGCTCCCTATATCCATTATCAAATGAATAATATTTAGAAAAATAGCAATGTACGAGTTTTATTTAAATTTAAAGGTATACCTATTTTGAATAATATCTCATTTTTATCTTAAATTAAACTATATAATTTAAGTAATTAACTGTACTTAGAATATTGTTATATTATTTTTAATAACATTCGTAAAAGGTGTATTGAATATCAATGATTAAAATATAATTATAGTATGTAGGTTTATTAGGTATATTAAAGATGTAAAGAAAAAAAAGCCATCATTTTGACCATAGCCCGAATAACGCCGGGATAAATGTGGGAGATATTTGGTATAGTGTCATATCAAACTCCTTATTCTCATTATACCACTTCCTACTATTGTTCATCTTATTTGCTTATTGTTTATGTACATATAGATTGTACATTTTTCTATTTGTTTGAATAAATAAAGCTAAAATACTAAATTATACTTGTACAAAGTTATAAATAAAATAATATTTTTGAATTTTCTAGAAACTTTTTTTATTAAAATGTATTGATGAAAAGTGTTCCTATTGTGTTGTCTACTATACTACAATTCATTAATAAAATCAAAAATTCCACAATAAACAGCCTTACAAATAATATTTTTTTAAATTTTAGTATAGAAATTTAATCTTTAAAATCACTTGCTTAATAATTTATGACACAGATCCTTTTTTAACTGTATTTTATATGTTAGAGATGAAGATTACTGTTTTTTACTGAGGTAAACTAAAATAAGTCATATAATAATGATTTAAATAATTGATATATTTAATGTAATAACTAATGAGGTATGGTATATTTAAAGTTAATTCCTATCTAAATTATTTGTTTTTCAATAATTTATAGTTAAATGGGAGTAAGCTAAAATATTTTTTAATTTCTATATTAGATAAACAATTAACATTTGTGACCTTGAGTATTCATAAAATTAGTTTAACGTTAATCTACATTGATTCACTTCTTTTGGTTGGCAGACTAGATTATAGGTCATAAGTACTATTATAATATAACCAACAATAACCAATTTTAGATTGACCATTTGTTGAGGGCAGCTTGTAAAATGTTTGGTAGTTTTATAGTATGTATACTTCAATATTATTACCATACTATTTATTATTTACAAACCAATAAAAAAAAAAAATGCTATCAGTTTATACGAGTTAAAATAGCTAATCTTAAGAAACAAAATGAACTTTCGATATTAGTCCATAGTTGTATTATTATTTATTACTCATTATAGATGAATACTAAAAGTAATTAATACGTTTTTTAAAGATAATAAACTTAGATAAACATGGTTGTTAATTTAAAAAATAGGATTATATGTATTTGTTTTAAATAACATCAGTAAGCAATATTAATAAAATGTCAATTAATTTTTAGTCATAGTTAAAGATTCTTATTATTCAATTTTTCCTTTATCTTTTATATTATTTTTAGTTCTTCCGGGTCCTCTTTTTCTTCTTATTACATATTTGCGTTCTCTGTTTTTGTGCTAAGGTGTGCTTTTTCGTCTGTATTGTATTTGAATACATTCAACTTTTGTGTTGTTCCTCTCTTGTAAGACCATTTGAAGTATGCATTAAACCATTTATATATATTTTTCGGTGTTTGTGTCCAATTATATTTTATTTGCTGCTGTTTTACTAACAGTTCTAAGCAGTTGTGCACTGAAGTGAAATGGAAATTATTAAGTAGAGAAGCTCAATCCAACATTTTAAAATACAAAATTATTTAACACAGACCCCAAGGGTCAATAATTTAAAATAATAATAATATATGTAACTATGTAACATGTAAGTGAATTAGAATTTATATTCACCTTGTTTTTCAAAATTTTTCTCAATTAGTTTACTTAAGATTTTGTTCAAATACTTACAATTAGTCACTTAAAAAAGACATTTTTTATTAGGTGTTATTATAATTCTCATTTTGATAACAATAATACATTTTTATTAAATATTATAATAATAATATGCTTGAACGTTTCAGTAGGAAATAATAAAAATTATAATTATCAGAGATAATGTTATCTTAATTTGTGGTTCAGACACATAATATGTCAATTGACAACACAATACTCTATTCAGAATAAGATTGAATCACTTGGCCAAAACACTTTTTTTCTGCTCATCCCTACCACAATCCGGACATAGGCGATCGATGGCTGTCGGCCAATCACAGAACGCATCAAATGAGGGGTTCAGAAACTGTTTGGAGGCTCAGTCTATTCTTTATAGAGTATAGTCCACAGATATTTGATAACACAAAAGGGAATAATTCTAGTTTGGACCTTGTGCGATTTTCCAAATTCTTTTTATAACATCCTATGTAGTTTTTAATGAAAACATTTAAGTAGACATCAGAATTTTTTTGGCCGGACTTAGTTCATAGTTATAGTGAATTGAAGTATTAAAATTCTTAATGGGTAAAGCAGGCTAAAGATGATTCATGCTAATCTTCGCCGGGTGTATATGTGCTTTTAACAAATTTATTTTAACTCCGATAGAAGACTTACCCAAGGTGGTTTTACCTAACAAGTCGGAAGATGTTATTGATTTGAATGTCTGAGCAAACGACCATGGCAAGTGAATATTTGCATCTAAATATTTAAAAAAAAAATTTGCTTGGAATTTAAACTAGAATTGTTTCACAGACTAAAATAGAAATAACAAGGTATTAGGTTATTAGGTTACCAATTTAGGTTTGACATGTCTAAACCATAGAAAAAATGAAAAATTTATTTATTAAAAATATCATTGACAACAATTTAAAACTACTCCACATTTTAATAAAAATTATTTTGGGTATTTGTTTGTGCTGTCCCCCTGTCCAAGTAAAAAAAAAAATAGTTAGGGTACTCAAAAATAAAATAAAAACCGTTGAGGAGCTCCATCCCCCTTTAATAAATAAGAGTAGATAGTTAAATTTCTAATAAAATGTAAAATATATAACATAAATAATAATTCACTTTATTACTACTTACTTAAAAAAGTCAAAACATTACATAACTTAAGATAATTAACATGTTAAGACAAGAACTGTAAGTTATGTTTATTTGTTGAAAATTCAACAACATTTTGAACTAAATTTGAATCTTGAATATTCTGTCTATATTTACTAAGCATACAAAATCCAGATATTAAATTATATTATACTAATTAATTATTATTAAATTTAATATCTTTGACAAACTGTGGTTCAAATCACTGGATTATGTATAAAATTGTCGACATATTTTTCTTATATAATATATTATCGATGGATAAAATTAATTTTTTTGATTATAGAACAAGAAGTAGCTAACACTATGATTATCAATTTTATTTATTCAATGTATCAGTTATAATATACTATGTATAAATGTATAATATAGACACGGAAAAGCCAGGGTGGACATGTCCACCTTTGCCCCCCTTAAAGGTCCCCACACACTGTGGCGGTGGCGGTGAATTGCTGTAGGACACATTTCACCGCTCACCGCGGCGGTGAAGCCAAGACAATAGAATTTAACGCCACCGCCACCGCTGCAGTGTGTGGGGACCTTAATGGCAACCATTTAAATAAAAAAAAAAAGAATATTCAATTTGCCTAATCTAAAATTTAATTTATCTGTGAATCCCACCTATATCGAACCTATATTGGTCGAAAAATGAATCTACTAACCCTCCAAGGGTCTTAAGGACTCTATTGATATAACTTTTATTGAAAACGGTCCAGTATTTTTGAGTCTATAGAGGATGAATAAACAAAAATTAATCTTTATATATAAGATAATAATATAAAATATTATAATAAATCAATAAAAAAAAATGTCTATATTTCCCTTGATAAAAATATACAGATTTTCTGGTGTATGTGTGTACAGTCATACAAATGATGAAATATTGGTACAATGTTCAAATTTACATGACATTTCGATAATGACTTTTTATGCGACCTCTGTACTGTTCGTTAACACTGAATAAAAATTAAATAAAATAGCAACATTTTTTATATTTTTATATTCTTTTATGTTTTAAACAGGAACTAATATTATATTAATGATTAATCATACATCTGGTAACATTTCTAAATTTGAATAATGCTTGGTTTAAAGGTTTAAACCCAAAGTCTATCATAAATAAGTAAAAACAGAGCTTATTTATGTTTTTATTTTTATTAAGCTATATCTTACGATTTACTTAACAACTACTGAACAATTCTATGAATGACCTAGGTCCTTAGACAATTTTCAAGGAGGGTGACAAATCTATTTTTAAATTACTAATTACTATATGTGTATTTTTAAAAAGTTTGCGGAACTTAAGTCAATTTTACTAACTTAAATTTTTAAGATTTTAAGGTTATTAGTTTTTTCTACTCATAACAATAAATTAAGATTTTGATCATTATGATTTTGTTGACATTGAGAATAATTTTTGTCCATAAAAATTGTTATGGAGGGGCAGATGTCCCTTCCCCCCAACCTTGGGGACGCGTCTAATACTCATATTTTAATCTATAATCTTGCATGAAAAAGTATGATCTTTAACTACTTACCCTGAAAAATAATTTCCAAATTTGTAAATCTATGAAACTAGCAATACATGAGTAAAAATACTGAGAATTTACTATATAATATAATGAATAGCTCATTAGACCAATAAATCATTCATTTATTATTTATTAAAAACAATGTGTTTTGTTTATTTGCAGCCATTTAATTTTTATGATGACATTCATATGAACCATGGATCTGATGTAACCGCCACGTCTTCCCATAGTTCAGAATTTGAAGAAGAAAGACGATTAAAACCAGAGGTAAAATTTACTTATTATTATTATAAGCTATCTAAGGGACCTACGGCACCTATTAAACCCTTACTTTTATTATATTTAAAATGTTTAAATCCATATTATGTACAACCTACATATTATTTATTAAATAATTTTCTTACTAAAAAAAATTTTAAAAAAATCACATAAAATAGTTGGTTTTATTTGATTTAGATTGAATTACATTTATGTTATTCATACCTTTTATAGATACTGAGCATAGTGAACTAATGTATTAAATATTCCAACAGATCGTTTTTATGTGATGTTTATGAGACTTCTCTGAGATATAATATTATTAATAATTGAATATTGTAACTACTATATAAAGTCACTTAAGTATTGTCTCAGGGATTTCTTATCGCGATGTCTTTGAGACTTCAACAATTATTCATAATCATCTTCAGTCTATTTCATAGCAAATAGAAATTCAAATGTGCACTTTCATTTTACATACCTTGGGGACTTAGTATAGATGTGAACCTCGCGTTATTGCACATAGGGTTATTGTAACAATGGTGTGTGTTTTTTTTCTGTCTTTCATCAACATTTGTGATAGAAAAGTGAATCTAGTTGACACTTTTGAAAGGTAAAAATTGAAAATTCCCAGTTATTTTTGAAAGCGGGAAAAACGGTAATTTTTACTTATAACCAATTTTTAAAAAAAATCGATTCTCATTTTTTTGATACAGCTAAAAAACGAATAACCTCTTGTTTTGAACTTTTTATAGCCTTGAAAATTTTTTCAAATTTTGTAATTTTTTTTAAAAAAATATTCTTAACAAAAACTTTAAATAATTAATACATCCTGACAATTTAACTTATGAGTTATGAATTTTGGTCCTCATAAAATGTTTCAATAGCAGTTCAAAACTATTAAATACAATAGGCAAGATTATTTGTATATGCTTTATAGTTCAAATTTTAACATTCAACATTATCACAAAAATGTGCAAATTATTTTTCAATTATAAATTCATAAAAGTTTTTTATTTCATAGCTAACAAGAGCAATTTAATAAAAGATTCCCGACAAGTTTTTCTTTCCTAAACATAACAAAAAGTTTACAGTAAAGTAACATTGATTTTTTATGATCGTTTGAATTAAAATTGTTTATGATATTTGATATTTTGTTGTTATTCAAAAACAAATAATGTTAGACATTTGAAATTTTCACTAAATAATTATATTATTATTTTCCATTCATGGAAAATTTCTCTACAACTTTAAATTATGTTTCAGTTAGAAATTCTTAAAAGATTTTCTTTAGCATTGAAATTTTAATAATAGATTTACAATTTCTATCTTTACAAAAAAAAAATTGTTCACCAGATGGAAGTTACGCTATTTATAGCCAAGAGATATTTTTGATTTTCACTTTTTTTTTTAATTGTTAAATTTAATTATACTTATATAAAAGTATAAATGACACAACGTTTCCGCTCAGAATTGTTTTTTGTATGCAATGATTTATCATTAAATTCAAATATAACACAATGACATGCTTGTCAACTTATTAGTACAACAGAACGGTACGTGTACCGGCCACTTGGCCACTTTATTATGATTGATGTAATACACATTTTTGGATTTGGATAATAGATCTAAAATAATTAATACTAGTTAATACTAGGTTATCGACTATCGTTACCTACTTAATTGTGTAATTAAGTATGGTGTGTATGTGTATACACAATATATATTTGGATTTAATAAATTTTAAAAATGTTTAAACTTTATTAATTATTTTAGTACAAGTAACTTAAAATGTTCAAAAATAACTTCCTATATAGTTATTAAATATAGTAATTGAAGTTAAAAAAAAAAATGGCAAACAGAGTTTAGAATAGGATTTTTGAAACCTCGATTTATCATTGTTTTTAATAATAGTATAACCACTATAACACTATGACTATCTTGTGATGACCTAAACAAGATGAATTCCCAAGATCCAGTTTCTTTTAATTTAGATAGTAAATCTGGCATTCTGGCGACATACATGCTGATATACCATATTAATGGTGGGCATATCTGGATTTCGAAAATCCGAATATGCTGATCAATGACTCAATTTTTATATTCTAATAAATTTAATTCTATAAAACTTTTTCATTATAATAAAATAAAGCAATTTATTTTACGATATACTTATTAAAAATAATTATAAGTCACATAAAAACCAAATCTATAAATCCGGATTTAGATACCTGATACATGGATAATTCAGATATTCGGATATTATGCCCATCCCTATACTTATAGACTCCGGGCCACCAGAGATTGAACCCGTTTCGCGTATGCAGGCATCCCCCCACTTTGTGCCATTTAGTGTAGGTATGCGAAATACGTGGTGATGCACGGAACTTGTTTCGGTCGGGACATGGGTTCCTTCTTTCGTGGCGCGGAGTATAGTTCAATGTTGTAATCTTATGTTTAATACAAAACAAAATGGATAACATTATATTAACTAATAACTAAGATTAATGATATTTAGTAAACTAGAATAAATAAAATGAATAATTTAATGTAAGTTCAAAAAGTGTTGACTATTTATAATGATAGATACCTATTAGATAATTAACAAATTGGTTAACAGGATAAGACGGGGGTGCGCATCAAGTTGGAAAATTATGCTAGGATTGCTTGGAATCGTATTTGTCTGGAAAAATATTTTATTGGAAACGTATTTTGTTAGACATGATGTTTGAAACGTATTTTCCATTAACTGTATTTAAAATTATTTCTCATTTTGTCAGAAATGTATTTTCGGAAAACGCATTTGTCAGAAACTCATTTTATCAGAAATATATTTAGTATGACCAACATAGTTTCTTTTTTTGTATACTAGCACGCCTAAAGACTCCTTAATCATAGGTAACGTATTATTGGAGCTAGATGGAATATATCTATATGGATAGATGGGCTATGGCTATAAATTGAACATAGGTCATAAACCTTATACTAATAGACGGTGCAAGGGTGTAGTTCTATACTATAAAGAAATCTGTGTACTACGCACATATACAGTAGATGATACAATAAACTGTATAACTGTATATAATATATATTTATCACCGTACGCAATCTGTGACTGTTTTCTTTGATTTTAACCTATTGTCCTTGTTTTTATTTTGAACGACATTTTTGATGCGTCTATCAAGTACGTCAATGGTTTTTAGTTTGGCTCAGATTCAAATGGAATAAAAAATAGTAGGTAAATAAATTATTATTATTTTTTTTTCTATTAATTTTGAACATCGCCAACACGAGTGTCTAGAGACTGCCCATTAGCAAATTCCTTATCAATTATAATATAATATTTCTTATCGAATATCATAATATTGGATTTTTATTTTATTTTATTATTAATTAAATTAAATTAATTGTAAAAAACTACGTTTAAAAATACCAGAAGAACAACGATTAAATAAACCCACATTAAACGTAAGAAAACAAATAATATAGATGACTTGAACGAAAAAGATGGGTCTCCTTTTGTCCATATTGATTCGCAGTTTAACCATGCATAATATGGAAAATAAGACAAATAATATTAATTTGCTCTTTACATTATGCTACCAACATTATTATTAATATTATTAATCAAAATTAATATTATTATTTCAAAAACAATTATTTTATAACTGTATATTTTATTTTATGACAATTATTTTGAAAATAACATTATTATTAGTATTTCGAAAACAATATTATTTTATAACTGTATATTTTATTTTATGACAATTATTTTGAAAACAACATTATTATTAGTATTTCGAAAACAATGTTTTTTTATAACTTTATATTTTATTTTATGACAATTATTTTGAAAACAACATTTACATTATTATTTGCATTAATTTTGATAAGAAATATTATATTATAATTGATAAGGAATTTGCTCGTGGGCTGTCTCTAGACGCTCGTGTTCCTCAACCAACCGTAATCCCCCTACAAAATGCTAATGGCCATAGTTGGAGATACGAGCGTCTAGAGACGTTGTAGGGGGATTACGGTTGGTTGAGGAACACGTGTATGTGGGCCGAGGATTCGTCTCTAAAAATTCGGCTGGTCACCCATCTGGAAACTAGAGTCGCCGGCCGATGCTCGACCTCAGAACACGTTAGAGACTGAGGCCAACCACCGAGCTACAACATTCCCCCTATATTATATATAATGTTTGTTTGACTATTTTATTTAAATTATATCAGATAATAAATCAATGTAATTTATATAATATTTGTTGTAATCATAGTCTGTTTAAAACTACATTTTGCGCTGCGAAGGTGCTGCAGATTTACTTTAAATTCTATTATAAATAAAGTACCTAGGTATATATTTATTATTTCCGAAGTTTCCTACTTTCTCTGCTAACCATCTTCACGTATTTCAGATTATAAACTATCTGTGTTGAGCTACGAGAAGTTCGCCTCATCAATATTGTTCAGTATTTCATTTTAACTCAATATGCTATTTTTATTTATTATAGTAAATATTAGTTATTAATTAGAAGCTATTTTCAAAATGATGATAACAATTATTGTTAATATACCAATAAAGATATGTGACATGACGTAATTTTATAAAAAACTAACTTGTTTTTATAGTGTTTTTATGCATCATATTATATTCATAATCATATAATTTCAAAAGAATATTATAATATTATATTTACATTTTAAAATTATTATTTTTGAGTTTTGAATTTGTTTTGTCTGGTAAATATGAGTGGCACTTTGTTTGACCATTACCCAATGCCTGTTGATTTGTCTGTAATTGTATATTATACATTACCCAACTATGTTACAATGAAAGTATAGAGATGATTTGGTAATTCTATCAATTGACTTTGAATAATATAATAAATTTTTACGTATCTATTTTTAAATTCACAATGTGCATTATGTGATCCCACCTACTCTATTATGAAAACCAAATCTTTTATTTAGATATTCTTATTTTTTTTATAAGTAATGATTATAATA